CCTAATGCCCCAAAAACTGGACAGTATTAATAAATCCATTCAATGAAGGAAATGGAAAAAACTGTGGTACTAAACTATGTGTCCACTGAATAACAGCTGAAAAAGAGACATATGACCAAACAATAACATTTTTTTCTTTAAAAGTTGGAAACATCTATATTTTTCATTGGCTCATCCTAAAAATCCAACCTGGCTTTACTCCACCTGTAACTCAGTTTCCACTGCAGTTATCCTTAACAGATGAGAAAATTCAGAAAAAATAATTAGATAAAACATCACTTTTACAGTTTAAAAAAATGTTTTTTTTTTTCACTTCTTGATGAGTTTTTCCTTTCTGTGCACTCAATTTAAAAAGAAACTTCATCAATGAGGATGGATTTTATTGCTAAACAAATAGAGCTCTCACTCAGTAAATGAAAATTATTAATGAGCGTTTAACGAAAAAAAAGGTAAATTTTGACTCCAGATGAAATTCTGTGTGCATAATTATTGTGTAAACATTACTGTGCCAAATTTTAAACTAAATGAATTATGCAGTTTATGTGTAACTCACTTGTTCACTTGCAACATTTCTATATGTAAGAAATATCTTCTACAAAACTGTAATAAAATAACATTTCTGATTTATTTTTTATATAATTACAATCCAGCTGTCTGTCCTGTCAAAATGTTTTATAAGCTAAACAAGAAAGCAGCCAAAGTCTTCAAAATGTCCCAATGTGTGAGCCTTTTTCTCTCACATTTGATAAGCCCAATGTGAACTCAAAATCTCCTAGTTCAGACGATGAAACGGACCAGGTTAATATCTAAGGGTTTTGCTGGTCAAACAACAAGTTGACTGTTTGAATGTAAAAGCTTTGTTGTGGCTCAAGGATGTGACCGTATTAAACTTAGATGATGAAAAATAATTTGTAGAAACTGAACACAGGTTTTAGTCATATAATAAAGGGTCAAAGTAGCTCATGACTAAAGATAAACACAACATTTGAACATTTTTTCCAACTGGACTGGAAGTTCTAACCTGTGAATAGCACAGGTAGTGATCTGACACAGGCCTATCTATCTGCTCCATAAAGTCCATTTCAAATATGTTTTTCAATAGACCTTAAAAATTTGCATTTTTATTGGTCTAATAATAATTCTGCAACTGGTAAATTCAGTCTATTCAAGACATTGTTGTTGTTCATCACCCTTGTCTGTTTTGAGGTTACAGGATACAATGGTGTTGCTATAATTGAACGACTAGCATCTACAACTAGGGCTAGGTAATATGGCTGAAACATGTATCAGGATATAAGCATTTCATATCAGTTGATATAGATAATTATTGATTAGTGTTTTGTTTTGCCTATTTGAAATAAGAACCTGGAGAAAAAAACGTTGATTAATACTGCCAAACTGGTGACGTAACCTTTCTTCTTTTAGCCTCAATTTCCTCTTGAGCTGTTGAAACTGATCACATGTTTTTTGCAATATATACCGTTACTGATTTATTGGTCAGTCCTATCTACAACACAAGAATGTAATCTATCATTTTTGGTGGTATAGGTCATGCTAGAGGTGGAACTATGACATCATTTTTAAAAGTTTTAAAAAGAAAGCAACAACGGCAGTAAAAGGCATTTTCATCAGCTCACTTAAAAAAACATTCAGGAGCTCCAAGAACGCTGTTCCCATGTGGATGCAGGGCTGGAACAATAAAATAACTTTGCATTTCTACAGAAAGCTGTGTAGATGGTGTCTTAATTTACTTATTGTTGTTAAAACTTTCCCAAGTAGGAGTGCACCGATTACAGTTTTCTGGCCAAACAACGATCTTTATAAAGTCAGACCTGACTATTCTGATTTTGGCCCATACCGATTTTTTTAAATACAGTGTCAGGTGTTATGTCACAACATAACTTTGATGTTCTAATTGTATTTTATTGAAAAACAATGAAAATACCCCTGAAACAATTCAAAGTGTTTCAACTGGACATTAGGTCATGTTCACAGCAGAGAAAAGGCGGACAGTGGCTGATTTTTAGACCGTTGTAGAGGTTAGATGAGAAGCTGATCTTTTCTACCAATCTTATCTAAGTATCGGTTTATCTCTGATCTTCCAAAATTAAGGAAATCGGTGCCACCCCATTCCCAAATATAAAATCTACTGACTTTCTGACTTGTATAGAAGCAAACAGAAACGGGAGCATTAATTTTCCCTAGCACTTGAAAAACAACCATGATTTTATTATGCACCACACAATAATTGATGTATAGGTTGGCAGAAATTTGAATTTAAAACAGCCCTCTAATTGGTATTCACACCTAAAGAGACAATTTGGGTATAATGATTGCTCTTTGATTCTAAGACAAATTCATTGGTAATATTTGAACGGATGACAATATCCCTGGTTTTAGATGGAGCACACAAATTAATAAACCAATGACAGCAGTAAATCAATGTTACTGTAGAACACACGCACTGACAAGCATATTTCTGATCAAGGCCTGAAGGCTTTTATAGTGTAATCACCTATGGGAGTGTTAAGCAAGAAACGCCCACTGTGTCTGTGCATTCATTTAAGACTCCACTACTACAGAGGCTTGCAATCAACAATAGCTCTGGAAGAGCATTTTGGACAGAATCTTGTTGCTAATAAATAAAATAAAATCCAATTAATATTTAAAGCTAATCATAGCCACAGAGTTGGAGAACAGACAAAGACAGATTGGAGCCTGCCGGGGGAAGAGGGAGCTTTCTGTCGGATGATCCCAGTAGACTGAGGTCTCTGCTTTTCTCAGATTTAAATTCAAAAGCCCTTGTTTTAAAAGAATGTTTGAATAATCCCAGCTGAAATCAGCCATAATTAACCTAGCAAGCTCGTGACAAAAGCAGTATAATCACTTTGTAAATAGATGACAGAGAATAGAAACTAACGTGGTTTCATTATGTATTAGGGGTGTCTAATGATTTCCTCGCATGAACATGGAAATGTTGGTGGACACAGAGCCATTTTATAATGTCAATGATGCAGCTATAAACGGCTAGCTCAGATCTCTCTGAATGACTGTGCAAAGCTTACTGCGTTTCATCATGTTAACATCCAAAAACCCGGCTTGTTATAAAAGCTTAAAGATAATGGCTGATTGGGCGTGTGTGATCACTGTCCTGCTCTCTGGCTGTGGTTAGGTTGTGGGGGAAGGGTGGGATTCACATTGGCCAACAAGGATGAGCAACGATGACTGAGGATGGATGAAGGGGTGGGGGATGATTGTGGAGGCCACGCTTTAGCCTGATCACATTAAAAGAGGGCAAATATTGGCCATTCACATAGCTGTTTAAAAAGACGGACAGACAGATGCTTTCTCTTAGTGTCAGTGTCTCTCTAGCTTCTCTTTCTGACAGCACCACCAACTGCCTCTTCTTACATAACCTCCACCCCCTCTTGGCCGCTGCCTGCCTTTATTAGTTTATTTCTCTTCTTGTCAACCTTTGCATTTTTACCCCACTGAACCTATTCCTGACATCTCATATGTAATTACAAATCTTTTAACTCAACTATTAAACCGAAAATACATCTTTACTTAATACACAAATGACACATGTATTTAATGTTTTCGCTACAGAGATTTTTTAGGGTGAACCTACATGATACAGAGAGCAAATAAAAGATTGTCAAGTTTTTTCGGAAAGCTTCTACAACAGTAATGCAGCTTTTGAAACTGAATAATGAAAATTGCATTATATTAAGCAGATACAGGTTTTTTTTTTACAAGGCAAATTAAATAGTGAATAAATTGTCTGCATATGAGTGGTGGGATTAAACAGGCTGTAGAAGTGACAGAGACTAAAATCTCCATGTAAGCAATAACTGCTTACATAATCACATCTGCTGCAAGCTTTCAAATGTGTGAAACGTGAAATACGCTTGATTGGTCTGGATGCAGCTGCAACGCAACATGAAATAAAAAAAGGACAAATTTAATTTCTTTTAGACTTCATTAAGCTGAAACCGTTCGTTGGCAGATGTAATCTGCTAATATCAGCTAGGCTGCAGCTTATATGAAGGATCCTTTTCGGAGGATTTCTCCCACTCTTTTTTCTTCCCACCTTCTTAATTCTCATTTTCCCTTCTAAAAAAACATGATCAGACATAAACGGAGGCGAAGAAACATTCACTTGTAAGAAACACAAAGCTGCTCAGACACATACTCATGCAACCATTCCTTGAATCTCAGGCTCCCCAAGCTGCCCTTCCCCCACCCTGGATCACTCTCATGCTTACATGCGTGCACCTTGCTTAATTAAAGACTGTTCTTCTGATGCTGTCCTGACCTTTACTCAACTGTAATTTATAAACACATGTAAATAAACGGCAATACCAGAAAAAAAAATTATGCATATGAAAAAGAGGAGTTTTCTTCTTTCTGTGCGACATGTAAGACAGGCAGCATTAAGAAACAGGTTGTTTATATTACACAACACGCTCATTGTACAGTGACTTTTTTACTCAAAAAGCTGCCTATTAAAACCAGTAGAGAATTTGTCTCTCTTTTTCAAGGACAAATACATTTCTTATATTTAAATTTTAAAGCCAGCTTTGTAACACTTGCTGGTTTGAGTTTAGAAAAAAACTGCATCACAGTGCTGCCTCAAAAAAATTGAAAAAAAAAAAGCTACATTTTGGGGCCTACAGTAACTGCATCAGCGTAAACCTTTGACGACACACACTAGGTGTGTTAAATCTATAAACATTAGTCATCTGCACCCATCCCAAACATCATCTCCATGTGTGTGCAATAAAACCAGATTAGTCCTGTTCCAACAGAGGGACCACAGTCAACACATAGGAAACGGAGGGCTGGAGCTGAATGCTAAATATGAACTCGGATCTATTAACAGACACAGCTGATACTTGATCAATGACTATGACAAAAAGCTCATCTGCTCCCAGGCCCCACCCCCCATCAGGCCCCACATGCCTGAGCTGACTAAAACAGTGAGTAAGAAGAGTTACCTGGTCGTACCACTCTCGGTTGGTACAGGTGCACTCAGGCCACCATCCTCCTTGTCCACTGGAGTTGTTTCCATTGACTTTGGGGCCACCTTTGGATTGACCCTTTGGGTTGGGGCCTCCAGGGCCCCCACCAGACATATTCTTGCCCTTGCTTCTCCCTAAAGTGCCCCCTCCTCCTCCCATGCTTCCACCCCCTCCTGAGGCTGGAGGGGGTAAGGTCTGGCCTCCCCCATACCCAGGTGGGTATCCATAGGGCTCGGCCTGCCATTCTCCTCCATATGCTGGGGCATCCATCCTACGCAGAGCTGCCATACGGGTCACCTCATAACATTCTGGGCACTTGCAGCAGTGGTGGTGTTTGTGCATGCTGGCTGTGGGCTGATGCTGAGATGAGCGGCGTGGCACTCTGTCGCTGCTGCCTCCTCAGATCTCACACAGCACGCTGTGATCGGCTCACAGCGCGCTAACGCAGATGGAAAAAGCACTAATCACAGGAATTTCTACAGATTCTCCCGTTTTTTTTTTGTTTTGTTTTGTTTTTTTCTTTCGTCCGATCCTGCGACTCTTCGCGTTAATCCTCTTGGATGTCGGGAAAAAGAATTTGAGAGAAATGGGAAGCAGCAACAGGAAAACAAAAAATACAAAATGGGCACGTAGTCTTTGTCCTCTTGACGTAGAAGATCAAAGGAAATATTTAAAATATTGTATGTCACCACGCAATCAGAGACCAGCCCTGATGATAGAAATTTCTTCTTGCTTCTCTTGGTTCACAGTGATACGCATATAAATTCATAGATATATATATATAGATTCTTTTGTTTATATATCATATATATTTACACACACAACTACATATAAAAATATTAATATAAACAGACAAGCACAAATACAGATATGTACAAGGATAAATGTATATATATATATATAAATATCTATATGCGTGTGTACAAATATATATATATATAGATATATAAACAATATGTATAAATAAATGATATCCGCAGATGAAAATCTTCCTCTCTTGATTCTAGATTTCTTCCTGTTCCGTCAAAAAACGTCACGTTTTTCCTCCTGCGTTGAAAATCGTTGCCTTTCGCTCTCTGTTTCTTTTCTCAGCCTGCAGAGAGGAGCTGAGCACTGGATCGCCTCTCAGCCAGCTTGCCCTAGATGTGGATTATTCAGAGGGATGTGAGCAAGCAAGAGGGAGGTGATGAGAGAGAGAGGGAGGTAGCGAGAGAGGAGGGGATGGGGGGAGAAGGATACGTAGCAGCATCCCTCTAGCAGCTCAGCCCTGACAGCCACAGCCAATCAACTCGCAGCGCCGCTATCAGCAGCAGCACCAACGCGACTGAGCGCTTCACTAGCTGCTCTTAAAGGGCCAGTGACACAAACGCCTCACCGCTGCCTGCCTCGGGTGAGAAGGCACTTCTTTACAAATTGAGCCACATAAAACATTCAACGTGCTTACTTTTTAAAAACATTTTCAACAGCCTTCATTTAAATCTGCCAATGACAAAACATGGATTCTAATCTTCCAAATTTGAGTTTAATATTTGTTTTTCTTTATAACCAGTGTGGCCAAAATCTAAGTTACAATAAACACAGTCCCACTAACTGATGACTTACCACTTTATTGGTTATCTTTATTCTAGCCACTGAATTAACAGCTTTTTTTTTTACAATGAAATGCCAACTCAGAGCTCTCTGTCACAGCACACATCTGTAAATAATCTCACAGTCGATGTGTGAACATCAGATTAAAACCCTTTTCCTCATGACTGTCACTAGACCTGACTTTCACAGCAGAGGATGTCTTTTAATCACGCTGTGATTTGCATCGTTCTTTGTCGCTCTTCCTTTTCAACTGCTGCCAAAGCAGCGCCCCTGTTGAATTATTTCACTGCTCGTGTGCAGAGCTCGGTCAAAACAATCACAGTGGGAGAAAACTGCCCCTCTGAAACCTCGTTTAAGAAACCATAGGGGAATTATTTCATGTTCACAATGATGACATCAACACATGTGTACCAACCCAATAAGATTACACGCTTGGGCTTTCGAGTGGGTGGAGAAAGAGATTGAGAGTGAGAATGTGTGAAGGGAAAAGGAGAGAAGGGGGGCCTATACGGCTTTCATGTATCTGTGGCAGTTATATTTTCAGGACTGCCTCAGAGCCATTCTGCATGCCTCTAAATTTGTGGACTGATCATAACTAGGTATAAACCATCCTGACGCCCAGGTTCATCTTTATAGAGAGGTGATGAAGACTGTTACTTTGTTGCCATTAAAGCCCTGTGTGTATGCATTATTAATGAAATTTGATGGGGGAACGAAGCAGGGTGTGTCTTTGTAGGACAGAGAGCATGTTTAGACATCACCTGCAGTTACATCACTGCAAGGCATCTTTGCCACGCTCAGATTAAAACAATTAAAAATCAGTGCTTTTTAATTTGACTTACATTAACATGATCAGAGCAACATTTTTTTCTTTTTTTCAAACTGAGCAGGATCTTAGGATGAGGGCACACTGCATTGTGTTGCAACCCTACCAGGAGGTTCACACAGCAGGCTCAGCCACACTTAATTACATGCAACAGTAACTCGCTTGATTTTCATGATATTCTTTCACTCTAACCTACAGAGATTTTCCAAGCAAAGAGGAAAAGGAGGAGGAAATCTAGCAATCTTATCGAAGAAAAAAAGAAAAGAAAAGGAACCCAGAAAAGACTGAATGCCTCAGGATACAGGCACAAACCCTTCCGAAGTCAATGAGAGAGGCAAGGCGGAGCTTTGAAGCAGCGGTTTGAAAGACTGATGTAAGCATATTGATCCAAGCACACATGACCGAGCACATGCTGCCGCCATCCCTCCAAACTTCACTGTGTTGCTCTTAGAGTTTACGTCCAATTTACCAAGTAGTCCAGTCACGGTGTACACAATACAAAAAGAAACACAATCAACATAAATACCGTATTGATCAGCATAATAGAGGTAGAAGAGAAGAGGTAGAAGAGACAGTCAGAAAAAAAAAACATCTTCTCTACTGAATAGATGCATATAAAACCAGTGGTGGTATGAATAATTTGTGTATATTGGCAAAATTTTGTAGATAAAAGTATGAAAAATATAATCAGTTTATAATCTGTTAAAGACAAAAAATGCAGCCTTTGTAACTCAAATAAAAAAACTGTAAGAGGAAGGTTTTACATTATTATTTTGAAAATATTTTTTTAAATGTGTCCTTACATAAACAGCTGCAAGAACAGTTTCAACGCACTACTAAAATAAACAGTTAACTGCTCAAAGTTTGCAAAAGATTTAATTATAGAGATGACGCAGTAATATATCACTGTACTTCCAGTTCTGAAGGAAAAATCTTTAGGTTTCATGGAAAATAATGTCACATACAATATGCCTGCTGGGTATGTTTTAACCATTTTTAATTGATAGCATTATATAAATGAGCAAAAACAAGCCTAAGTGTTAAACAAACGCATGAGTAACTGCTAGGACTGGATAACGTTTTCACATGAAGATGACTGGAATAAAAAGTCTATGAAAACCTGCTGACAAATTCAAATATATACACATGAGAAAATCATTCTGCATTTAAATAGAGATGCTTTTCTGCATCCCCACCTTGCAGCTCTCCCAACACTATCAGCTCAGCATCAGCCTGCACAACCCCTGTTACATAAACCCACCTGGACATTCTGTTACACACACACACACACACACACACACACACACACACACACACACACAC